TCAAGGCACTGGCTCATACAGAAAGCGTTGGCAACATCATCCAACCACCTGCTGCTAGCAATGGGGTCCCTAGCCCCATGATAATCCGGAGCTCAACAAGCTCTGACCTCTCAAAATGTCAGCGAACGCGCCCACATCATGGCCATCATCTCAGTACGAAAAACTCCCAGCTTCTCATTCAGAAGCTCCAAAATACCCTCCTTGACCGAACCAAAGATCACATGAGGCTGGTCTAGAATACTACGTGTAACCTCAGTTGAGATGAACTCCCTCATGCGCTCCTCGAGCTGCTCAGCTCCTGATCCCTCTCTGACGCCTGATCCGACCACTGGTCTCTCACGCAACGTCGCCATGCTGAAAACATGCGATAAGAACCATCAGAATACACATCACTATCGAGGGGATCACACACACACACACACTACAAGTTCCCTGGTGTTATCTCAAACCTTCTTGAATCGAGTACAGATCCTCTGCTTTCAGTAGTATGGGCCCTTACTACCTTCCATATCTATCTGTACTTTCCTTAAGAATTGCCTCGACTACACCACGTCCCTTTCACTACTACTAACACTGCTCCCAGCGCTACTCGCATCCTAGGCTTGCCCTAGGGTAACCTCCAACCCAGTCCTCAGCTACTGAAGGTATCTTCATAATGCCAATTAGCCACTACCTGAATACCATCACATGTGACGAGGCTCAGATAATCCTTCGAGTAAAGGACTCGTCCCAACAATGGTTAGACTCAGACGAGAGTTGTGCAATAGGGCCAATTCCAACACTCTGAGATTATTCAACCCTGATCACATGTGACTTGACGTAGTCACCTAATGGCCAACTCCCATCACTTAGAGTCCCACAAAGCACAAAGCAAGTAGCATTCAGACAAAAGGGAAAAAAATCTAACCACATAATCCAATCATACTGTTCTATCCCCTACTCGAGAATCTATACTAGCATGCAACTCATAAAGCTCATACACATAAGAGGCACATAAGGCATCCTCTCTATATCATTATTCCTAATCTATCATGCAGTTATAAGGCACATATCATATGATAACAAGCACGTATGGGTAATTTAGGAGAAATTACTTAAGCTCGGCTGATTGCATGCACCACACCCCTATTCTCTTTTCAAAGTTCTTTTCTTTCTCAAAATTTATTTTTTCTTTTTCTAAAACTCATTTCTTTCCTTAGTTTGAGTTCAGACACACCCGAAAGTGTGCTCGAATCCCTCAAACCAAGGTTCTGATACCAACTTGTAAACACGGTCCCGAAAATTTCTTTTTAATTAAATAATAAAAACCATAATAACATATCATATCATTCATAAACAAAAGTTGTTATATCAAATCAGAGTATCATCTCAAAACATGATCTTTTATTAGAGTATAAGGCCTCCCAACCTAAAACTTCTTGGTGTGTGCTATGCGATCATCCCGAGCTTTTTCCTCCGCTACCGGAAGTACTTGAAACCACAACTGAAAACCGTAAGCACGAATCTTAGTGATTTCCCCAACCTACCACATAACATACATAATCACACACTGCAAACATTGGGCCTAGCCCGCTACATCGGGCCCCGCCCGGCCTCGGACAAATCCAACATCAGGCCCCGCCTGGCATCGAGCCCCGCTCGGTATACAAATCTGTTTCTACCAGGCCCCACCCGCTACTCACATACAACAATAACATATAAACAAGCTAACACAATCACTATACTATAACTGCTACACACTCAGCTAGTGAGGAGATATGGCCCCCCGCCCACACTCATCCCCTACCAGGCGTATACAAGTATCACAAAGACAATGAGTATAACTACACATACACTACTGCCTCAGGTACCACCCGGCATCGAGTCGTAGCTCGGAAACATACATATAAACCTTCCTCAGGCCTCGTCCGACATCAGATCTAAATCCGGTATTCACTAACACACATAAACGGGCCGACATTGGTGCCTTAGACCCGTTCCTACCGGATAAAACTCACCTCGCAAAGCTTACTGTAGAATCCTGTGAATACCCCTCGCCCAACGTACTGGATAACACTCCCCGATCATCCCTCCCCAGTACACCCAGCGTACTCGGCTTAGCCCAAAATCCTTATAACTTCAAACGGTCATAACTTCTTCATTTCAAATCTGATTTCGATGATCCTTATATCCACAGAAAGGTATTGATGAGCTCTACAACCCTAACTATTTACTTTTGACTTTAACACATCGAACTAAAATCCTTATTTCATGAAAGGCTCGGACCATCAGTTTTACCATTATACCCTTGAGCTCCAAAGCATAAACCAAACTATTGGATCACATAATCCACATTATCCACATCCAGATGGGTCTAAACCTCTCTTTCCCAAAGGCCCGAAGCCTTATGATAGTTAATCTTTGGGTCACGGCCCCGAATTATGATTCGACTCGAAATAGGGTGTTACACACTGATTGTCATTCAGCTAAATTTATGTTCGATAAAGATTTCAAACATGATGTTTCTAAGCAAATGTATACTATAGGGCAAGCTAATTTAGCTCCATTTGATTTTACAATTATATATTGAAAATGTGAAGATAATTTTCTTCTTGTTTTCTAAGTAGAGAATTTTTAAATGAGAAATAAGCATTTAAGACAATTATCTAAAGATATTGTTATCATAAGAAATTCAATTAGAGAAACTAAAGTTCAATTAACCAATTTGATCAATTATTTTCCAATGATAAATGTCCTGGATCATTTGAGTTATACTCAACGAATAAAACAATAACAAGATGGAGACTAAAAGGTCTAAGAATTCATTTTAGAATTCTAGAGAATAAACTCATATTACTTCTGAATTAAATTTTGCAGGATGATTCCTAATCGGGGGAGAAGTGGCTACCCTAATAGAGGTGGCAGAGGAAGGGGATATCCTGTTATACAACATGGAAATTTTTTTATTAATAGTAGAAAACATTGCTTCCCAACTATCATCTAGTATTCCCAAACCTGGATATCCGTTTTATTTAGCTTTCCAAGAATTTTTAAAACAACAAAAGGATAATAATCATTCTTTCTCAAAAATAGTTTCAGAGGAAGATAATGATGATTGCTCAGAATATATTTTAACTCCTCATAAGGATTTAATTATTCTTTTGGAGGAAAATCATATCTTGTTATACTTTAAAAATCAATAATAATCATGAAATTTATTCTGGATACTGCATCATATGCAACATGTTCCTATAAATCGAGGAATTATTATGAGAATATACTCATTGCTACCGGTACATGTGAAATTTCTCATTTCTCTCCTTTAGGAGAAAATAAAATTTATAACTTCAGTAAAACAATTTTCAAGAAAATTATATTTGCGGAAGAATGGGGTTTAAGCACACTCAAGGAACGAGAATTTCTCCACCTGAACAAAATATTATAATAAAATTTAATTTCTGGGATTATATTGATAGATTTTATAAAGCTTTCCTATATGAGAATCCAAAAAGAAACATTCTTGGTTCTTCAAAATTTGTGATCAGGTTTATAAATAACAACTACCAAATTGGTTTGCCAAATGGTGGATCTCATATGGTCCCGATATTTAAATTCTTACGGAACAGTTCAAATCTTTATATGTGGAATGGCTAAATGTAGCACCAAAATTTAATGAAGCAATTTCTCATTCTATTGGTGGAAAAGAAGTAATACCTTATTTACACTTTTTTTTTTATAGAATTTTCTATACCTTAGATCTGGAAATGGATTCCTGAAGTAGATTATAGTCCTAATAATTTTCCATCTTTACAACGATCATATCTTATGAAATTTTGGGCAAAAATGTTACAAAAAGATCTAACCTCAAATGAGATCAATGCTAGACAAACGATTGATATCAAACAATTTTAAAGTATAAATCTCAAAATGAATTTTTATTTTATAAGGAGCAATCCACTAGTTCAAGCCTTTATGAAAGTGTTATTAACTCCATAAAAGCCCGGAGAAATTCTTCCCCATCCAAAGATGACATAATCAATGCATATTTTCGACAAATGAAGGAAGATATGCTTCAAAATTTCAGTCGACAGAAATCAAACAGCTTAATGCTCTCAACAGGAAATAATGATAAGTATTTGGTAGGAGAATCTCAACCGATTGATGATTAGGATGAAATTATTGAAGATTTCAATGTAAAAGACGCCTTCTCCACTCTTGAAGACATAATGATGCAGAAATTACAGAAGAAAATGTCATATACAGAAGAAATGGTCATATTCATAGAGACTACATTGTGGAAATTCCTACACTCGTTAATATCTACTGTTTACTTTAATAAAGTAACAATTATAAACGAGAATCAAGATGAGAATGCTAACCAGTTATTGACAGATGTCAAACCGCACTCATTAATACACCCCATTATTGTATTCTAGTAATATGTAAATTTTAGTTTAAGTCTCATGACGAGCCCGATATTTAGGCTTATGTTTATGTTTGAGACAGTTTCTTTCTTACACTTCTTCTAACCCTTCACTCTCTTGTAAATGTAAAATATTCAAGTTAACAAAACAAGCTTTGAAATAGTCTGGTGCCTCCTTCCTATTATTAAGTCTTCTTTACTTATATTTTATTATCTTTTATTAGCCTCATTCAATTATGGCTTAATTAGTTTCTTAAAAACTAAGTTATCATATAATTATTTAAAATACAGAAGTCTAGGTTAATAATGGGTAATTTAAATCGAAACATTTAACCATTAGTTGCAGTGTTGTCCTTTTTATTAGCCGTGGTTTGGCTTTCTTAGGATTGTATTTTAACATAATTATATGGTACCCCTGGAAAACAGGGCTGCTACATTTCATTATTAATAAGTTTTTTTAGCTTTTGACCAATGTCAACATTTTATTAAAACGCAAAAGGAGCTATAACACTACAATAGACAAACACAGTTGATGAATTCACATAAGCAAAGAGATAAACCGGTTCAAATTTTCAAGAAATACAATACAATATGAAAATCATACGAAACAGAACAAACAAGTGACTTCCGATAGGCTAGCCACCCTTGCACCCTTATTCCTGTAAAATCCCATTTTCAATACACTATTCTTTCTCATGTAACATATCAAACAAAGTCAATGATCTACTTGGCATAGCAAACATCATCACACGAGTCCCCTCTCTCAAAAACAGCAGCCGCACCCATCCCCGTTCCAATGCACATCGACACCACACCAAACCTACAGTCCCTCCCACGCTTCTTCATTTCATGCAACAGAGTCGCAACACAACGCGCTCCTACAAATAGCAATTCATCACATATTCACATCACCATTAACTTTCTTTTTAAATGGGATTATAATTTACTTCAATGACATAAAGAGTAAAAGTGCATTTGTTGTGGTTACCTGTTGCACCCAAAGGATGTCCAATGGCCATTGCGCCTCCATTCACATTGATCTTTTGTGGGTCAAGCTCAAGCTTCTTTTGGCAATATAAATATTGTGAAGCAAATGCCTTTACCAAAATAAACAAAATATATATTAATCATTTCTCCACTCACATCTTTTATAACAAAAAAGAAAATGAAAAATTATTATTACCTCATTGATCTCAAACAGATCAATGTCTTCCAATTGTAGACCAGCAGCCTTGACTGCAGCTGGAATCGCAACAGCCGGGCCAATTCCCATAATCGCTGGTGGTACACCAACAGCAGCAAATGTCCTACAATCAATCCAACAAAAAAAGGACTTATTAATTCCAAGGGCATTTTCGTCTTTTCAGACAGACAATATATACAGAGCAAGTGTCTGTCCCACATCAGTATAGTGTTAGTCTCGGTAATGCATGTCAAACACCGTACATCAGTATTAGTGTCAGTCTCGGTCAGACTGTTGACGGTCTGATGCATGTCAAACACAGTGTAACATGTTCTGTTCTATAACAAATGGGGCCCACGTACCTAAATACACCAAGGATTGGCAAACCCTTTTGAACAGCAAGGCTTCTCTTCATTAATAGAACAGCTCCAGCACCATCACTAACTTGGCTGGAAGTTCCAGCAGTGGTGGACCCATCTTTCTTGAAAACAGGTTTTAATTTTGCAAGATCTGCCAAACTTACCCCTGGCCGGATCCCATCATCAACAGAGATCGTTACAGGTGTCTCATCTCCAGTTTTTGGGTCAACGATCTTTTCACCAAAAAAAAAAAAGATTTAAATCAGAAAAAATAAAAAGTTGAAAGGAAAAGGAAATACAAAAAGTGGAAGACATTTTCATTTTTTCACCTTGGTTGGAATTGGAATGATCTCGTCCTTGAATCTTCCAGCAGCAGTTGCAGCAGCAGCCTTTCTATGGGACTCAACCTATTCATTATCAAAAAAAATTTTAAATAAAAATTACATTTACAAGAAAGATAAAACATAATAAATTAATTTAACTTACTGCAGCCTGATCTTGTTCCTGTCTTGTTACTTTAAAGCGTTGGGCCACATTTTCTGATGTGATTCCCATTGGAAGAAGACAATCTTGGGCTTGTGCCATGGTTTTCACCTGGTGCGATCAAGGGGCAAAATGGTCCAAAACTGAAACTTTTATATTTTTTATTATTATTTAAAAAGAGGGAGAAAAATGTTATACTTTCGGGTTAACGGATCCTTCCCAAGCCATAGGATTGGTGGTCATAGATTCAAGCCCAGCACCAATACCTATTTATATATAAAATTAATTCATAAACAAACCAGAAAAATGGCGTGAAATTAATTTTTTTAAGTATAAAATAAATAAATAAGTACTCACCAATTTCATAGAATCCAGCTTTAATAGCTGCAGCTACATCAGCTACTGCCTGAAGACCTGAGGAACACTGTCTGTTGACAGTCCTAATTGGCACAGTTTCTGAAAATAAAAAACAGGTAAAATCATGTTAAAGGAATTAGAGAATTGTGGACATGGAATGGAATCCTGAATTCCATTCATACCAGGAAAGCCGGCATAGAAAGCAGCCATCCTGCATTCACTTGCTCTTTGGGAGCCTGGTCCCAACACTGATCCAACAACAATGTCTCCAACTTCAGCTGGATTGATATTTGTTTTTTCTATCAATGCCTGAGAAATTTTACAACAAAACAATGTAAAAGCTGTACAAGATTTTTTCAAATGAACAATAAGACACAAGTTTAAAGGATTTTACCTTCAAAACTGGGGCAAGTATATCATCAGGATAGGTATCCTTGAGTCCACCCCTCTTTGATTTGCAAAGGGGAGATCGGTATGCACTGCATAAATCATCAAAATAAGGAAAAAATAAAAAAGATTGCAGAAAGATTCATCTTGAAAGTAGTCAAAAGAGAAAGATTCCATAGGTTTTCATCTGTTTGGTTTGAAAAAGTTGAGTTGAAAACTTTATAAAATGGGTTATTACTTATTATATTGTAAATTTTGATTCCCTTCCATAACGGAATGAAAAAGAACTGCTCATAGCTACAGAATGAAAATTAATAAATGGATGGAATCTCATTCCTTGAAGAATGGAATGGTCGATTCCATCACACAAAACATACATTTTTTTTCAATTTTCCTCCCTAATTCCATCATACCAAGCGGAAAATGCTACCTTAGTTACTCATAGAAAGTTGCTCTGTATATATTAACATAAAACTACAGCAAGAAACTTGGAAAGAAAGAATATTCAACAGATGTTACTTACGCTACAATTACTACATCATCCCCAAAAACTTGACTCCTTTGATAAGCAGCACTATCACCTGCTGCACAGACTGATGCCTGATTTCAAATTACAAACATTAACCACAGTATTGAGGAGAGAATAAACATGACAAGATGAATACTTGTAAAAACATGTAAAATAGACACCATTTGTTCAATTTCAACAAAATCAAGCCATTATGGTGGCACCTAAGGTGATCCCTTGATGTACAAATTCATGAAAAGAAAACATAACAAAATAGCACAAGATGTAAGCATTTAGGCCACATGGAAATACCTTGTTTTAGAACATAACCTAATAAGCACCTATTCTGATCCCAAATCATCCAGGAAATATGCAGGGGATAACTACTGGATGTGTTTTACAACAATCATTTCATCACAAACTAGTTTGAGAGGGAAAAATGAAATGATTACACAGATGAAAATCAATGAAATTATGAGGAGGTTATGCTAATTCTGAGGTTCTGGGAAGTAAAAGTCATACTTCCACATGGTCCTATGCTCTTCCCTATGTCCTATCCTAGATTCAACACTTTTGGTACCTCTTCAAACCCCCATCATGGCAAAAATATTCTCTTATTGTACTTTCATTTGAGCTAATTTATTATATATTGATTTATATATTATCAAGCATCTAAGAAAAAATTATCTCTAAAGGTGATCCCAAACTACATCGAAAAAGCATCAATCAGCAATAACAACAACAATCTATCACAAAATTAACTGGAGAGGCTAAATTAAAAACCTTTGTAGTGAAATTATAAAGGGATCAAGCACCATGTAGTTCTGGGATACAAAAGTCAATACTTCCACATGCCCCTAATCCCTATGCTCGTCCCCACAAGCAATACCTAGAGGCTCAAATTTCTATTCAACACTTTTTTCCGATGCCTCTTCTAAGCTTCGTGGTTGTACAAGTGTTCCTTTTGGTACTTTCATTTCAAGTAACTTACTATAATTTGCTTTAGCTATTGTCAAACATCTGTGGAAAATATTATCCCCTAGACATATTTGTACTTGGTACGAACTGAAGAAACAGGAAAAATAGAAGAATGTCTTGGATCAATCAGGGTACGAACAGAAGAATGTCCATATGATGCCGGTATATAAGGCAATACCTCCGACAACATAACGAATTTTAATTTTAGCAGATCAAAGTCTAATAAATCAGTCAACTGTATAAATCTTCGTGCAACAAACATCAAATCAGGTTAAAACGATCATAAAACGCATGATATCATGTACGAAACCTAACTTCAAGGAGAGATTTTTTTTTTCTTCGGCATCTGAATAAATCAGCACGATCAAATTACTCATATACAGATGTAACTTAAGAATTAAGAAAGAACGGATCGAGTCAAACACTAGAGGCATGAAAAGAGTTCATTGATTAAAACTAGAATTGAACTTACGGAAATTGAAGAATCGAGATTTTCCAAGGATGAAGAGGTAGAAGACGGACGAAGATGCTCCAGCAGAACTCTTTGTCTCTCGATTGCTCTATCCATTTTCTCTACGAAAACAAAAATAGGTTGCTTGCGCGTTTGAATTGGTTAACCGTAGAAGCAACGATGTGCAGCTACGATATTGGTATATATATAGAGAGAAGGAGAGATTAATTTAGAGTGTGGAAAGGTTGAACATTGGGATGTGTGATGCTTATCGTTTGAGGCGTTATATGGCGGTGTCTCTCGTATGTCAATTTCATAGCAGATGATATTTTAAATAATTGACGATTGCGATAAGGGAGTTTTTCAATATGTTTTTTAGTTTTATGTTTTCGTTATATAAATAAATAAATTTAAAAATATAACAATTTTTCATTTGTGAAGTTGTTTTTTTATAAAGCTTATTTATGGTTTTTTTTTTTTTTTTTAATTATAAAGTTTATTTATGGATTTTACTAGAGATGCATAAATAAGTGTCCGACCCGACCCAGATCAATGATTGGTAAATAAGGCGTGGATCGAGCCCACATGCTTTATTTGGGCACGGGGCTGTCTTGAGTCAAAAAACATGAGCTACTTAGGCATTTCGTTTTTTTTTTAATGTTTTTAAAAGTAACAACGTTACAACAATATATATTAGTCAAAAAAAAGTTATTTTAGACATTTTTTTTAATGTTCTTAAAGTAACAATAATATATAGAGAAATTAAATATATTTTTATCTTTTCTTTATATTTATTATTTATCATAATTTTAATAGGCATAAAGATAAATAAAAAAATAATAATAAGAGCATATTTAATTTATCATATATATATATATATATATATATATATATATATATATATATATATATATATATATATATATATATATATATATATATATATATATATATATATATATATATATATATATATTAGGTTGTTTATTATAATATTCTATTTTTAATTATAAGATTTTACTTTTATTTAGAAAATCCTTCTTATATTGGGTTCTTTATTATTATTACATTATATTTTTATTTATTCCTATTATTAGGTTATAAGCGTAGACATTATGGTTAAAAAATGAATACACAATGATAACTTAAAAGCGTAATGAATAATCATTGATTTGTAAAAATTTATTAATTTACAAAGAAAGATGTTTTGTTTGTAACTTTATAACCACTAGTTAAAATTAATATATAAATTGATTTGAATATCCAATCGACATTATGTATATGCAGATATTTGATAACATCATGATTTTGTGTAACATCCCGGGTTTCAGGCATTATCAAATCCTTCATTGAGTTTTAAATTATGTTATTTTGGTTCTTGGATTGTAAAGATAAAACCCTAAGAAGCCCTAGTGGCAAAATGGTAATTTTAGGAGCAGGAGTTGTACGTTGAGCGTACACATATGTACGTTGGGCATACTTATATCCGAGTGAAACCCTAATTTTTAGGGTTTGAGGGGTATTTAAACATCTTTATGGATCATTTAGTCTCATCCTTTTAACCTCTAAGCCTTTGAGTCGTTTTTGGCAAACCCTAACCTTATACGAGAGTGTTTTGAGCTTAAAGCATGTTCTTTATGTGCTTAAGGAAGAAGGAGTTGCATCAAGGAGATTAGAAGGGAAAGCAAGCTTGTGGATCTTGGATCATCACCTTCTTGGGAAGCTCCAAAAGGTAAAAAGTTGCTACATTTATGCTTTGTTTGCTTGGATCTCATTTTAATAGCTTTATGGTGTTCTTCTTGTCCAAAAGTCCCACTGTTATGCATGTTTGGTTTTAGACATTTAAGGATGTCCTTTCAGACCCATAGGAAGGGTTTTAAACCATAAAAATGAAGTCCCTTTATCTAGTTTGGTTCCATGCTTCTTGTAGAAGGTCTTGACGGGTTAAGACCATGTATTAAGGACTTTTTGGACATCTAAAGTCATAAAGTTGGAGACTTTATGACTCAAGGGGTGCATTTAGACCATGGATCTAAAGTTTGGGCTTAAGTGCTTACGTCATTAAGCATTTATTGGAGTTTTGGGTTATGCGAGGGTACACCCCGCATAGAAGGGAGTACCCCCACGTACTCGGTTAGTATCCCCGTAATGCAGTTAATGTGAGGTTGCGTATACTGAGCGTACCTCCGGAGTATGCCCTACGTACTCGCATGGTTCAACCATATTTGAGTTAACTCGACTGGGTTGACTCAGTGGGTTTATTGATTTTGACCAGTTGACTTTGAGTTAACCAAGTTTTACCATGTTTGACCAAGTTTGACTTTTAAGGATATTTTGGATATGATTGGGTTTTGATAGAATTGGTCACTTGGTGGTTGTTGGCATTTGAGTTGAGTTTTCCTCACTATACTTTCGGGTCGAAGGTACTAAGGCCGACCCATTGGTTTCATAACCTAATATTGTGGATATGCTGAGTATGGAATAGATATGCATGCTAGTTTGGTAGATTTGTAGGACTATTTGTGATACTGTCTGTTTATCTATATATGATATTATTTGTTATATTAACATATTATGTGGGTTGGGTTGAGGTCGTACCTGCTACGTGTGGTAGCCAACAAACCCTGGAGCATACTAGATATGAGCTGAGGGCCAGGGAGGGCATGCCCGACTCATAATGAGGGCTCATGAGCATTCCAGATATGAGCTAAGGGTCGGGAATGACATGTCAGACTCGTATTGACGGCTTAGTGGTATTCGGTCTAAGGATTGATCAGGCCGAGGAGCAAGCCAGGCATAAGCTGTGGGCCCAGGGGCAAGTCAGACTTATGATCTGGGCTCAGGGGTAATCCAATCTGTATGTTGTGGACCCATTGCATGCTGTTATTATATTTGTGTTATTTGTTATGTATCGGTATTTTGGGGGGAACTCACTAAGTTTTGGGCTTACAGTTTTGGATTATGTTTATGGTATATCAGAGGAACGTGGGAAGGCGAAGGTGTGATCATGCACCTCCTCATGTTTTGTTTCACGATTTTGGCATTTCTCTAATGTTGAACTTGTTTTGAAAACAATTTGTAAACAATGATGGGTTTTGGTTTTATTTAAAAGTTTAAAATTTTTCATGAATTTTATGAATGTTACAAGTTGGTATCAGAGCCTTGGTTTGAGTGAATTAGAGGAACACTCGTGTGAATCCAGTCTCAAACTAAGGAAAACGATTTTAAAATGATTTTTCAAATGTATTTCAAAATATTCAAGGAGGATGCAATGTGTACGATCAACTAGAGCCAGTAAGTAGACCCCAAAATTGATGGGTTTTGGTCATAAGACATCCTATGTGCTCATACAAACCCTAATGCTTGGATCTAGGTTTCTCTATTGTACATGCTTTGAATCCAAGACTATAAACCCTAATTCTAGTATTCAAATAATCATATTAACATAAGAATGAGTTTATAATGTTACCTTGATTGTTATGTAGCAATAATAATCCCAAATCTCCTTGTATTGACTTTGGAAGGCTTAGAGTCACAAGTGTCACTCCTCTAATGGCTCACAAACACCATAAGCAAGAGGATGAAGAGGAGAGAGGATGGAGGCTGCTAAAAACGTGTGTAAACCCTTTCAAGAACATTAGCCACGTTTTTGAGCCTTAAGGGGTCTTTATATAGTTGGGCTATTAGGGTTATCTAACAAGGAAACCCTAATTTGAATGCTTAAGCCCTAAGCAACCCATAGACTCCTTTAATTAAGCCCATGGACGAATTCCTTATGGGTTTCCCATTAGAATTCGTCCATCCCTTAATACAAGGCAATCCATGGCCCAAATTGCAATTATCTTATAATTACAATTTCAGTCCCTTAAGTTTAATTAATCTCTTTTAGTCACAAAACTAATTACCAATTAATTATTGACTAATATTAATTAAACAATATGATTTCTCCTTTAATATACTATTCTCATAATACATTAATAAATCATATTTAATCCTTACTCTCCATAAATCATCCTATCAAGTTGCTTTGGTGAAGGCAACCCAAAAGGACCTTGCACCATCGGGTCAAGTACATACCAAAATAGTTATGGACTTAGACACTAATCCAACAAAAGTATCATACTGTTATTTGATATTGTGATATGTTAGAACAGTATGCTAGCGACAGGGTAGGGATCTTCATGATTTTTCATGATAGAATTGTCTGATTATATGATGCCTGATAGCCTAGGGTTCTTCTCTAATGGAATTGGCATCATTAATGTAGTTGCTTAGTGTATGCATCATGGTCATGCATAAATAAGATTTTATAGCCTGAGAATGTTTTGTCTGGCCTTATTTATTGTTATTGTTTGATGAAGGGCTTAGGGTATGATTAGTTATCCAACTGTCTATATGGTCTAGTGTTATGTATGTCTAGCATACATGAGTGCTACAAGGTTGGTGGAAGTTTCATGGATGAGTGGTGTGGAGTCAGTCGGCCAGTTTTGAGATATACATCCTTCCTCGGGTGTGAGGATTGAGCATTTGAGCATGTGAAAGAGTATTATTAGGGTATTGTGATGATCCTCTAAGACAAATGCAGTTTGGTGTGGAAGGTGGTATGGGATCATACTACCGAAAGCGTAGAACCCGTACGCGTAGCAATGAAGTCACAACCTCTAGGGCTATGTTGGGAGTTGGTTCCCCGTTATGATATGCATGTTATCTGATATCCTCCTGGTTTATTTTTCAGTATGGTGACTACGTGTTGAGTTGAGGCAGGATCTGGTTCGGGATCAAGAGCTGGCTGCCAGGGTGGGTCAGCTTCGTTGGATGACAGGATCAGGAAGATCCTGCATAAGGAGGTTGTTGCTCGTTTCCGAGATCACTTATTAGAGATTTTTTGGTCTATCAAGACCACCATGGTTGAGTACTTTGATGAGCGCTATGCTGCTTTGTCTGAGACTGCTGTTGTTGCAGCCACTGCAGCCGTTGCGATTGCAGGGGTTGGATCGGGTTGGGTTTTTCAGTATCGAGACTTCGACAATACGAAGTCCCCGACTTTCGATGGGGTGCAAGACCCGATCATCGCTATGAGGTGGATATCTGATGTGGAGGGATGTTTCTATTGGTTTTAGTATACTACAACATCCTATGGTGCACATACAACCCTAAATGCTTTGGATCTATGTTTTCTCCAATTATACATGCAATATTGTTTCCAAAGAATTAATCCTACAACTAGCATACAATAGACATAAACAACATAAGAATGAGTTACAGGATTACCTCTTGATGTAGCTTGTTGTGTTTGGCCTTTAAGAACTTGACACCCCAAGTGTGATGCCTCAAACGGTTCACAACACACCTAGGAAAAAGGAGAA